CGAAACAACGTGATGGACACCGGCTCATCACCCGCCGAATACCTCTACGGAACCACGTTGCGCATTCCGGGAGAATTTGTCCTCCCCGACGACGAGCTTTCCAACTCGGATCCAAGGGCGTTCATCGAGGAATTCCGCGCGCACATGCAAAAGGTGAAACCTGTCCCAGTGGGACAACGGCACAAGAAACGTGCGTTTCTTTTCAAAGACCTCGCCACATGCACGCATGTGTTCCTCCGCGCGGGTACCACTAAAAAAGCATTGGAACGCCCATACACCGGTCCTCATAAAGTGCTAAAACGCACAACCGACAGAGTCGTCGAAATCGAGGTAAACGGAAAGCCGCGCTGTCTCCATAGAGAATGTAAAACCGGCATACACCATCCGCGAATCACACACAGAAGCTGCCGGCGACCCCGCCGTCGCGACAAAAGGCAGCGAATTGCGCACGTACGCAAATAAGAAACGCGTCACCTTCGCCACTGGACGTAGTAATTAAGGACACTGTAAGCGAGCGAACACCAAACTATGTACATATTATAAATACTGTAATTATCAAAATCTTATAAATATCGTGTACACTCGAGGGGGAGTGTGTGAGGATATCAGCGCCACTGCGCAATTCCCCCAGACACTCGCCTAGGGAGTCTGCCCCAACAAGGTTGGCAGCGCCAACCTCGGGCCATATATAACCAAGAGTCGAGACGCCTTCGCTCTCTTCTTCCTCTTCTTTTTCCGCGCTCGACTTTCGACTCTCGGTAGAGACGCACGTCTGTCTCTATCCGCCGCTCCCGATCTCGGGATGAATAATGTTTTCTTTTACAAACACGTGTCATAACTCAGTGATATCCTCGTGGTCCTCTACACCGTTCTGAGCAAGTTGGCTGCTCTCCAGTTACGCCAGTCACCCGTACTGGTAAAACCCAACATATACCTCGTCGGTGGCGACATCAAACATCAGTCCACATGTGTTGCTCCTCCATGTCCATCTAAATCTAAAGATCCTTCGCATCATTTTCCCCAGAAGGAAGATGTAGCACGAAAATGGGTTGCTGCGGTCAAAAATCCAAAACTCCTTTCTTTGAGCCATAAAGAATTGGTCAAGCGAGTAGTTTGTTGGAGACACTTTGCAGAACAGGATTATAAATGTTCATTCCAGCACAGAAATATTTCTTTTTTTCTTTTTTTTAATCATGAATAAATTTATTTACTACCACATATACATTGTATACAATTATTTCTTTCACCTTTTATGAATTTCCTTATACAGTAAGTTTTTTCATTTCTCATGATTTCTCATATTGTCTATATGAAAAAAACAAACATTTTTCATATTTTCTCTATGAATTTAGACAATATGAGAAATCGTGAGAAAATTTTGGCCAGACTAACTTTTCAAGTATTCAATTTTTATTTGAAATACCCACCATATTGCAGTTTGGTTCACCACTTCCGCTTTTTAACTGTGGTGGCGCTACAAACACTGTTCGATTCGTAACATGGGAGTGCCGTCCTCTGCCCTGGCCTACGCCGCGTTTCCCCGAACGGAAGTCAAGTTTGCAGTTTGCGCGTGAATGTACATAACATCGTAAGATGGCTAACTCAAAGGTACGGTTTTACAAAATTTTCAATAAAACATTTATGCATACGTATGCACATAAGTATTCTATACAGGCATTAATACAACTTATGGTTTTTTTAGGAAAATAAAAGTTGGGTTATGCCATCATTTGATTGTGAACCTTTAAAAAAATCTTCAACTATAAAAAGTACTTTATCGCAGACATTAGAAAGGAATACATTCGATGTTTCATTTAGCTATGACATTATACCTCAGAAGAAAAGTACAAGCAATTTGTTTGCTTTACTGGAAGCTTCTGAACCAAAAAAGCCTTCTGAATTAGTAGTTAGCAGGCAAAAACAACAAGAGATTGCAGACTGGTTACAATATAAAGTTAGAAAAGGCAGACCTTGTGCATTAATTTTATCTGGTGTATCTGGCTGCGGAAAGACAGCAGCATTAAGAGTAATTTCCAAAGAAAATGGTTTTAATGTTACAGAATGGATTACTCCTATTGATCAAGCAATGGATGAAAATAGTAACATTCTCTTTACAAAAAAGAACTTTGTCTTTTAATTAAAAACAATATTATGAATAATGTCTAATTAGAAAGTAATCATTTTAATAACAATATTGTAACCACTACTATCTTCATTCAGATAGGGTACCGAGACAAGCAGATAGATTTGAAGAGTTTGTAATTAGAGCTACTAGATACAGCTCAGTTTTGAGTAATTGTCACAATCGTCTACTCCTTGTAAAGGATTTCCCAAATGTTTTCATTCAAGATAAGGATAGCTTCTTCTCCCTACTGGAGTAAGCAACAGAGTAGCATTTAGATTTTATGCATTTTTTTTTAATAACAATTCTGACTTCAAGACAATTTCAGAAAATACTTTGAAATGGGTAAAGAACCTATAGTTTTTGTATGTACAGAAACAGGAAATTCAAGGTTATTGCAAACATTATTTCCTCCAAATATAAGAGAAAAATTTGGTGTGGATTTAATCAAGTGAGTTTTCAAATGCAATATTTTATTTAATTTTATTGAGTAAGTGTACTTATTTCATTGTTTACCATCTAGAATAAATCCTGTTACACAAACTGCAATGAAAAGTGCATTGAAACGAATTGGGGGTATATTAAATTCAATTGCTGATCACATGATATGTGTCTCACAAGACAAAATTGATGAAATAATGTCAAATAGTATAGGAGATATCAGAAATGCTATCATCAATCTTATATTCATTTCATTGAAAGGTGTGTGCAGTTAGTTATAAAAATACATTTCACTTTTAAACACATCTTTCAATATTATGTTTACTAGTACCAGAGAAACAACAAGAAAAGAAATGCAATGTTCGAGAAACAACTCTAGGGCTTCTGCATGGAGTTGGACAAGTAATTAATCCAAAAAGTATGATACAATATTATATAAGATACAACAATTTTTAGGAATGCAATACTTAGTAACACATATTTGCAGAAATTCAGAATGGAAATTCATGGAAATTTGTTCATGATCCTGATAATATTACATCTTATTTTCAATCGCAAGCGACAGTATTCTTAAATTTTCTTCAAGAGAATTATTTGAACACTATCAGAGGCATAGAGGAAGTGAATATCTGTGCAAATATTTTAAGTTTAGCAGACACTTTAAATTCTGAATGGCGTGTATGTTTGTTATATTTATTACATTTAATTATACAGTCTTTTACATTCCATTTTACAAGGTATTATATGTACAGGGTGATTCTCTCACTGCGAAAATCAAAGGACGTTCTGCTCTAAAGAACCGCCGTGTCGGTGCGTGTGTGAATGGCCCCGGGGCGTCATCAACAGTGAGGACCGATCTACAGATTGCACGTACTGACGTGGCGGTTCTTTAGAGCGGCACAGTCTTTGATTTGCGCAGCGAGAGAATCATATTATACAAGGTATAACTTACGATATATGTCAGTGACTACAGATATAAGACTATGGATGCCATTGTTGTCAAGGGGTCATGAATCAGTGCCTCGAGAACAAGCGCCATCTGCTCTATCCTACCATAAAAATATGAAACACTTGGCACTACACATACATGTAGGATGCATAAGGAGGTACGAAAAGGCATCTCTAGTCTTATTATATTTGTAGTCACTGCTATACATATTACATGAAAACGTTTCTAAGACAATTGCAATTTTATGTGATTAACATGAATATTTTTAGGATCCTAATTTAACTAAGGTTACGTTATCGTTTTGTGTCCGAGGTGTAATGGTAGCGAATGTAAATCCAATTTCCGGGTGGAATCCCGTTAGAAAACCACAGAATGAACGAACTGAAATGTTAGTATACAAAGGTTTGATAACGTAATAGTAATATTACATAGCAGTGACATAAATATTAACAAATTCTGCATTTACATAACAATAATTATGCATGACATTAGTATACAACTGTAACGTAACCTTCCCTGTATACAGGCAAAGAAGTTTAGCGGCCGCCGAAATTCGATGGTACGAATCCATTATTAACTCAAAATCTAAAGCAACGGAAAAATTACTTGATATTGATATGGAAGCAGTTATTGAATAAATCCCATAGAAATTGAAATTGCAAATAAGAAGGGTGCATTATGTATTTCTCTTAGATGTATTTTTTACCTTTACGTAGATATTCAAGATGATTTCAAGCGTTTTAGTCAGATACGTCTCACCCTAAGTATATACGCGCTTGATAGTCATATTCGATAGTAGTACTATTATTCCAATTGCGGTTTACACTATGTGCATACTACTTTTCAGACATAGAAAAGTAAAGGACCACTAACATCACATGTGCGTGGACCAACTGCAACGGTTCTTAGAAACGCGAAATATATCATTAATACAAAAATCGTATTTTGAAAATGCTTCTCAAATTAATATCTTCGAAATTGTTCTTTTTCCGACATATTACAAAGTGAAATTATAGAATAATTAAAAATAAAAACTAAAACCGTCGCATCGGGATACCAACAGGGTCTTCATCATGAACGAGCGCGTGAGAGAAATCATGCTGCTCTCAGCGTCGGTCCTTTACTTTTTTATATCTGAAAAACGTATGCACATAGTTTAAACCGCAATTGGAATAATAGTACTACTACCGAATATGACAATGAAACGTTTCTGAAATTAATATCTTCCTAGCTTTCATTTAACTGGCGTAACATATTAATGTGATGGATTTTTCTTCCAATGTTTTCATATGTATGTACTGCAATAGTTAGAATGAAGGTAACATCTAATTGTAAGAATAATTTACCTATAGTATATATAAGAGAATATGTATTTGTGTAATATAAAATTTAAATATTAAAGAGTAATAAATACATCTCCCATTTTTGTAAAATGCTTCTTAAATTAATATTTTTGAATCTTTTATTTTACTGGCAAATTACAAACTAAAATTACACAATAATTAAAAATAAAAAGTAAAAGCGTCGCATCGGGATTCAAACGGGGTTATGGTCGGGGTCCTCGTCATGAGGGCGTTAGAGAATTCATGCTGCTCTCGACTCTCGGCGTTTAGATTGCTTGGGATACGGGATTTTAACCTGGCTTGGGCCACTCGGCCGTCGCGTCGTAAACGCGTGACGTAGACTTTTGCCGAGGCACCCGAAGCAGAGCGCACACGACAGAGGTAGAAAACGCTTGTGTTGGTGAGTCGCCGAGTAGGACGTAGTGGGGGCAGAGCTCACGGACAGGCTAGAATATGCTTGTGTAAAATACCCACGGGAGGCATGGAGAGGGTAAGCGCTCGCGCGGTTTACCCACTATTCTGGCCTGGCATCACTGTTGGCATCAGTGATCGGTGGTTGTTCGGTTGTCTCAGTCGTTATTAACCGTTATCAATCACTTCTAATGAATAAGATGTCATTGTCGCAAACACATCAAGTAGAATTAATGACTCTAGCAGAATTAGCAGGAATTACAGCAATTCCAGGCGTTTATCGGTAATTGTTTATTAAATGTGCAAGTATAACCTCTTCAATTACTCTAAACAGTTTTAACCTTAGACCAACATTGTGGGATCGCCGGTGAACCCATCGAACTTTAATCTTGTCTCTAGTGATGAAAATAAACATTAGAACATTAAATTTTTGTTTACCCTCCTAATTTGTACCATAGTTTATGAAATAACAAAGAAACATGAATTTCGTGTATATTTTCATTAGTTTTATAAGCCTTGGGGTTGCCAGTGACCCCATGGTGTCTGTAACATAACAAAACTGTGTCTTAACTGTGATGGATTATCTTCAAAAAATTTGTGGATAGTTATTTTAAAAATGTAAAAATATTACAATATTAAAAGTTTAGGTAATTATCTGGAAAAGGGGACTTCAAGTCCAATGACCTGAACATTAGGATATGTTGTAGAAGCGATGGTCCTGAGTAATATGCACTTTGTCCGAGGCATAGGACTATCATGGTTCAAAAGGTATGACAAAAGAAAATTGCGCATGTTACATTACATTTACTCCAATATAATAGTTCAGTAGGAACAGTGTTACCTATGCATTAAATCGTCCACCAAGGAAAATTTAACAAATTTGTGGAAATTGTTTTTTGTATCTTTGAGGGTGCTCCAATTGCAGCCATGAGTGCTAGAAAAGATATTTTATGAAATGTAGAATATTGCCGCTGTAAATTCATTTATAATATGTAAATTAAACACACAATTACATTTATTACCGTTGAGGCTTCCAGGTGTAAGCCGTGTCCTTGTAGAATTGTTTTCCCAACATTTTGCAAGCATTGCAATGTTGGAAAAATAAATCCACAGTTACATGGCTTACACCTGAAAGTCACAAGAGTAATAACTGTATGATGCTCGGCTGTGAGAGCCTCAAATTTTTTATTAAGCATACAACTATCAGTGAAACACCCTGACAGGAAAAAATTATCATTAGCTCTAATAGAAAACCATCTCAAAGTCCTTGTATCAGTCGCTATTATATCCGGAGAACTATGTACATTATTTGCTGGTGTATTTAAGTCTGAGGTACCAAAATTTACACAAACTATGAAAAAACCAGGTGGTAGATGTGCATTTTTCTATAGAAAGAAAGACAAGAAAGGGAAATTAGCATGCGTTTTATATTCATATAGTTTCTGTGCTGAGCACTAAATTTCAATCTGTTGAAATTGCAAAGTTAGCACAGAAAACTATTACTAATTGCAAAATTATTCTTCTAAGCCACATAGGTAAGGTATAAAGTATATCTTCTGACCATCTAAACTATATGTAGTGATTAGAAGAGCCACCAAAGCATTGTAAAGAAAACATATGAATCAAAGACTCTTTTAGCATATAGTTCAAAATGACTTATACATTTTGATTTCCTTTCTGTAAATGAAAAAACATGTTGCAGTTATCTTTTTTTAAGATGTCTTAAGAAGAATAGAAAAACGATTTTTCAGAAATGTTCAATAGTATTTATAATATTTAGATTTTATTTTGGGTTGCCCGCCACCCCACAGTGTCATATATGCTCAAAAAAGCAACAGTGCCGTTTTAGGGTTAATAATACATCCTTTTATGTTGATATTTTATGTTGTGTTAATTTTCTTTAATATCCTTTAAATGAACTCGTACAAAAACGTGTTAGAATAATTATGAAATATTATGGAAAAGGTTATTCTAAATTATTTAGATTATCAGATTTGACAGATTTCTTTTCAGTGTTATAATGGAACTTCTGACATTGCACATATCACCAGAAGATATATATATTCTCTTGAAGAAAATATGTCCACAGTCAGAAGACGAAGCTACAGAGAACCTTGAAGATGTATGTAAAACAATAAAGGAGAATTGATGTAAACTGCATAAAAATTAGCAGAGAGTAACTTGAAATGTACCTACTAAGACAAATTCATATATTCTTTTCATAATACTGTCTTTATTGTTCGACTTGTCGTTTATCACAAAAGATTAAATTTATAAAATGAATAATACACTGTAACTATTGAATAAAACAATATTTCTATTAAATTTTTTATATTATTTACATAATAGATACCTTCAGTATTGTGCACAACCTGCTCTTGCTAATTTATCAGCCATTTCATTACCATACACTCCAATATGACCATTAACATGTTTCTATATTATTTAAAAAGAAACAATATAAGACACACAATTAAAGTGAAGTATACACAACATAATTGTAAATTCGTCATACCCAAACTACATTTAAGGATTTGAGTGCATCTTCCATTTCTAGGAGTTCAACCTTATTTATAACAGATTTATTGCCTACAGTTTTCCATCCATTAGTTTTCCATTTTGGCATCCATTCGTTGATGCACCTAATTAAAAACTTTGAGTCTGTGATAATTTTTATATTCTTGATACCTGCTTGTTTTGTTATTCTTGCAGCAACAGTTACAGCCTGAATTTCTGCCATGTTATTAGTTGCTCTACCAACAACTGGTCGCGATACATTCCTGTAATTATCAGGGAATAAAATATTTTTTAAAAAAAAAGGTCTGTTAAGTTGAGTCGTAAGTTCCATCTATTGCAAAGTAAATCTATTTTTCAAAGCAAAATTTGTAACCTATCCTAGAACGATTAATCAATAAATTTTTATAATTGTGTATTAATGAGACTAAAGAATACATAATAGACTTGCATTAAATACAAATTATTTCAAGAGAAGAAATATTAAAAAGCGAATGGAAGTTATTTATAACATAACTTAATAGTTCCTGATAAATTAAATGCACGGAAAATTGTAGTGATACATACAGAGGATGATCATCCCCAAACCAGACACCTATACCAGCTTTTGCATTTGGACCACCATTTGAACTACATGCTCCATCAGTATATACATTTACGTAACCATCAATGTCAATGGTAAAGTCTGAAGACACTATCTAAATAATGAAAAAAAGTATTGAATAAAGTTAGTCCTATAATACTACAACAGTACTAAAGAGTAAAGCGAGTATTATATTTAGAGAAAAAAATTTTAGTATGAATACTAATATTAAAAATAATTATTATACTAGTGCTAGTATAAATAATATACTATCATTATTATAAAAACTATTATTTAATTAGTATAATAAACACTTACATTCTGTTCTGTGGATGCAGTACTTGGAACTGTGTCTAGAACCATGATTTTCCGTTTTTTTGTAGGAAACTGTTTCTTTATAACTGTATTTCTTAATGACTGTGATCTAAAAAGTTGAAATATTGAAATTATAATTTCCTATTACAAGTATTTAATAGGTACTGTACCTTTTCCTTGTACCAGATATTCCAGTTCTGTTATTTAATGTACTTGAATTTGGATTCTGACCGATAAAGTTTTCAGCTTCTTGTTTTGTTTGAAATTTTTTAAATAAAGGGCCAGTAAATTGGTGAACTTGAGCCTTACATTCATCCCTTATTAAAAACAGGAATTACATATACTCTATATAAAATATGTTAAAAAGAATACACTCACACATTGTAAAAATCAAAATTTGATACCAAGTATTGTAAATCCCTGGATTACGACCTTTAGCAACTGCATAATAAGATGGAGCCATTCTGCATGTATTAAAGAAACGATAGATTGGATTTATAAACATTTAATATCTGCTATTGCTTATTCACAACTTAAAATGATTTAAAATTATAATATTCATCTGAAAGAGAAAATACAGAAAATGTGTTAAAATAAAACTATGGATTTGATTTATTTATAATGTATATCAATGTGTAAAATATAATAAAATAAAGTAATCAAAAAATTTTATATAAGATTTAAATTTATTTTAAACTCAATCAAATCCTTAACAGAAAAAATAAATTTTACATAAAAATTGTTGGTTTATTGTTATACTGGGAAAAAGTTGATTCCATAATAGTATTAACCCTTACCTGGTCAAGGTGGGTCTAATGGACTCACACTAATATAATTTGTACGTACATATAACTCATTTAATCCTCATTATACCCTGATAAATAAGTTATCAAAAAGTTGTGAGTATTCTTATAAATTTATACTAAAAACAAAATATACGCTTCATCCAAATTGTATGATACACCCATATATTTCATAGGCCCCCGACTGCACGTCTACGACACATCACAGCCAGTAAGAGGCACGTAAAATACGCAACGTATAGTACACATATAGAGGGTGAAACAAAAATGTTGGAGGACTGGAAATTGGAGACTCGTGAGGTGATTTTGGGTGATTTGAAACAAGTTTTTCCTTAGCAAAAATGTTAGCTGAAGCTTTGTTAATGAGATATTAACGAAAATCTGACATAAACGACCAATCCGAGCGCGAGTCTGCCGACGGCGTTCACGCGGAAACGTTGGCTATAGGCTGCGCTCAACTGCGTTTGTACTACAAAGCTCCGAACAAGCAAGTCGGTATGCGTCGCAGGAAACTGTATGTAATAGCAAATAAAAAAGACGTAACAAATAAAATCGAACTTTTTATTATGTTTCGTTTGTCATTTAAAGTGATTAATGAATCAAGCATTAGTGTAGGACAATCATTTGTAACGTAAAAAGACGGATACACGGTTATTTTTTTAAACAGAATCGAGAATAATTATTTGAAGAGAGAGGTTAAGGAATTTGTAAATTTCCTTTTCAAATAACGTATTAACGAAAAGGTAATGCAACAGAAAAGGAACGAGAGTGACCGCAATTCGTTATTGTGATAAAAATCAGTAGTTTATAATAACGGGCAACAATGTTACTGAAAATGAATAAGTCTCTTTAAAAAGCCCGAGGAAAAATTTAGGTACAGAAACTTGCAGAATTATCGCCGAAAATAAGTCATAGCTTGCGTTAAATTAAAAAATAATAATCAGCAATAAATTGATTAGAACTCTCCCTTTCGGAAATTCATCTGCAGTTTGCGAACCAGTGTCACTAGGTCACTGGACCGATCCTGGTCATTGACGGACGAAACGGTTTATGGCAGGGTAGCGTCCAGTCTGCGGGTGATCATAGGTATATGCATCCAGCCAAAATTGAGAGTCGTAACGTCAACTGCGTTCGGCTTATTCCACCGAATATGCATTCACTTTACTGCACGACTACTAACACTGTTCACCCGACTATATCACGTAATGTATTTTTAATCCAGCGGAGTTGTGATTAGGCGATCGATCTCTCTTTCGATAATGATGTTACGCCGATGAAATCCCCATTTGTACAGGCTCGGCCTCTAGATGAAGACAAGAGTGAGCTGGTACTCATCTGAGGAGACGAAGGATGTATGATTAGCTGACGTTCCAACTCCACTAGCTTATAAACTAGGTAGAGATGGGTCGACCTAATGACTCTCCGAATCCTAAAGGGAAGTACACTCGAACCCTCGAAGTGGCCTGGGCCTAACAAAGTTGGGAAGGGTGGAAAAGCCGGGATAAACAGAACCCCAGGTAACGCCACTCCTAGACCCCTTGGTCTTTGTGTAGGTCAGGCACTACAACGCCAGCCTCGTGGCCTTGGAGGGGATATCAAAATCCCTTCCTCTGGGTCACTCATGTGCCACTAATCACTAATCACTCATGACCCGCGGATGAGTTGTACGCGTCCCTTTTTATACCCCGACATTCGAGTCTAAAAGTAGTGGGGGAGACACCTGTTCTTCAACGGAATTGGTGTTTCAAGAAACTCTGGCCACGCCACAACACCCCGTGGGTAACCACGTAATCTAGTAATCAAAACACAGTAATCAACCGTAATAGCGGAGCGCCTGGTTCTATTACTATGGAGGGCTGTTTTCACCTCTTGAACGTGGAGGAAAGCAGCTAAAAAGAAATACGTATCAAATATTTTTATAAGAACTGCAATTTCACAGAGTTGTATAATAATCAGCGATTGTCAATTCAGGAGGTTCCCTTGTGAGTTCACGTCTGCTATGAGGTCGAAGCAATTAGGCCGTAAATAACCGAAACGTTCGCTTCGGCCTCTGCTAAGGTGCTCGGACAAAGCCAAGCAGTGTCAACTCAACATGTGTCCAGGAAATTTTTTTTCTGCTCCTCAAACAAAACAACGTATTTCTGCTGTCTATTTCGAAGCAATGGGTACGTTGGTGGTCTCTTCTCTTCAGACCCTTTCAAGCGCTTCGGTGAAACTGCATGACGCTTCACTCGTTGCACTTCTGCAAAACACTTGTTCTCCTAAAACGCTGATTTCTTTTTACCTAAAGCTTGTTGCCGTGATGTGAGTGAACTCACAATGTAACGATAGGAAACTACATATTTGAGGGCAGAGGAAGCTCCTTCGGTAAAATTCTGACAGTCGGTTAGCAATCGGACGACAGAGATGTTCAGTTCACGAATGAAATGCGGCTGCTGCTGTGCAAGCGTTGGACTACGTGAAACATCTGATAAATTGAAAACAATCAGCCCTTTCGGGATTACGAATTTTCGTAACGTAAGAACAACACGCTGGATTAAAAATACATTAAGTGATAGAGTCGGGTGAACAGTGTTAGTAGTCGTGCAGTGAAGTGAATACATATTCAGTGGAATAAGCCGAACGCACTTGACGTTACAACCCTTAACTTCGGCTGGTAAGGTATACGTGCAATCACCTGCGGACTGGGCGGTACCCTGCCATAAACCGTTTCGTCCGTCAATGACCAGGATCGGTCCAGTGACCTAGTGACATTGGTTTGCAAACTGCAGATGAATTTTCGAAAGGGCGAGTTCCATTCAATGTATTGGTGATTATTATTTTCTTAATTTAACGCAAGCTATGATTTTTTTCCGGCAATAATTCTGTCAGTTTCCATACGTAAATTTTTCTTCGGGCTTTTTAAAGAGAATTATTCATTAACAGTAACATTGTTGCCCGTTATTAAATTACTGATTTTTATCAGAATAACGAACTACGGTCACTCTCGTTCATTTTCTGTTACATTACCTTTTCATTAATACGTTATTTGAAAAGGAAATTTACAAATTCCTTAGCTTCTCTTTTCAAATAATTGTTGTTTTTAATTCTGTTTAAAAAAATAACCGTGTATCCGTTTTTTTACGTTGCACATGATTGTCCTATATTTATGCTTGATTCATTAATCACTTTAAATGACAAACGAAAGATGATAAAAAGTTCGATTTTATTTGTTACGTCTTTTTATTTGCTATTATATGCAGTTTCCTGTGATGCATATCGACTTGCTTGTTCGGAGCTTTGTAGTACAAGCGCAGCCGAGCGCAGCCTATAGCCAACGCTACCGCGGGAGATCGACCGGCAGACTCGCGCTCTGATTGGTCGCGGTTTTTCGTTAATATCTCGCTAACAAAGCCTCAGATAACATTTTTACTAAGGAAAAACTTCTTCCAAATTGCCTCATGAGTTGTTACACCCTGTATGTTTAGTTTGTGGTATATACATAGCTCAGTGGAGGCGGCGTAGAAAAAAAAAATTGTTCCTTATATCAGGCCTGGCCAACATGTTGGTAAGGACGAAACGGTCTCTACCGTCTCTACCGTCAGTCAGACCGTCCCTCCTCTGCTCAATGTAATGTGCGAAGTTACGGCCTGGTGCGAACGACAAAGAGGGGTAAGAAAGTGCGCTCGCTTGCTCTGACTGTCAGAGCGTGCGCACTAACTGCTTCTTATTCTGACAGATGCGCCGCGGGTATGGAGAGGGAACCGTCCCTACGACAGAAGAGAGCAGGCCGATAGGGAAGTGGGTGCCCTCTAGAATCCACAAAGTTTCATTGAAATCAAAGATAATCTGAAAATATTCAACTTCGAGCATAAGATCTGCGACGCAAGGCGGCCCCAAAAATATCTAGACAAACCCAACCAATCCATCTTTCTAAGTACATTGTACTTAGAAAATTGGGAAAGCCCCTTATTTTTGTAAAAACAAAGGGATAAATAAAAATTCATCAGTAGCATAAATAATTAATTTATTAATGATAAAGTTAAATGAAATATTTAATAGAAACTGAAACGGAAAACGCAGTCTTTGACTTCGCACGTGAATTAAATTTGCTAAATTTTTTAAGTAGTGAAATATTTCATTGGGGAGATAGCATGCATATTGAACAAGGTTATGTCAAACATAACATAGATGGTAGATGGAGATGCTTCATGATACAATGCAGGAAACTTTATTGTTCTATATTTGAAAATACCATTTTCAGAAGTTCACACCTAACCATATATATGTATATTATTTTAATATTGAAAATATTTAAGTGCACATTGCTTAATTATTAATATAAACAACATTGTTTTGAGTTGAAAGTAATTACAATATCAAATGTTGATAAGTCGATACTCACTTCATCGCAGATAGCACATGACGCCTAATAACACCTTAAAAACGGCTTAAAGGCGTCTTAGACTTAAAGTAAAATGGGCGTCTTCAAGTCGTCATGTGCTATCTGGGATGCGATACGAGTACTTTTTTTCGATACCTATATACTTGGTATCGTAACCGTATGAGGTTGGCAGTAGAGTGAGAGGATAATACATGGAGTCACAGACTTCTCTTTCTAATGGGGCTGCAGTGGGAGCTTCTCCTACGGCTGTAGTGGAGACATTCCATGCATGCAGTATTCGTTCTCCTCAATCCCCTCCAGTCGCTTTCTCCCCTCCCTCTGTGATGTGCGAGCAAGAGAGGAGTTACTTCAGCGCTACTTCTGTCCTTTGGTCTCGCTTCATCCCTACCATAAGACCGTGCAGTCTATTATATACGTCTACGTGTTAGAGATGGCGTGCAAAATCATTAACGGTGATTTATCACAGTGATCGCCGAATCACGATCACGGTCATGATTTAACTTCATTGACGACCGTGATTGCGATTTTTTTATCTCGAGTGAATTTGCTCAGTGCGATCATATGTCCTTGATCTTTAAACAAAAAAACGTATTCAATATGATTTTACGATGAATTACATTACTATTTGTGTTTGTAAAAATCAGTAGAAAAAACAAGAAATTCTAAAAGAATGATTTGCTAGGTAACATGTAGATTATAATTTATAATCATTAATTTATTCATTATTGTTCAATGTTTCTAATTATTCCTTCACTTTATACGATATAACTCGAATTTTTGTTTTGATGTCGTTAATTTAAAATATACAGATTATGTGTCGCGTGTAAAGAACTGTTAGGTTTCTCCACCAATCAGAAACAAACACGAGAAATCACGAATCACTGTGAAAAATCACCGTGATTGGGAACGAATGTGATCGAATCACGAGTGATTCACAAGTAGCAGTTCACGCCATCTCTACTACGTGTTGGGTAGTGAATGGTACGAGAGATGACGTGAACTGCTATTTGTGAATCACGAGAAATTCGATCACGTTCGTTCCCAATCACGGTGATTTTTCATAGTGATTCGAGATTTTTCGTGTTCGTTTCTGATTGGTGGAGAAACCTAACAGTTCTTTACACGCGCACATAACCTGTATATTTTATATTAACGACATCAAAACAAAAATTCGAGTTATATCGTATAAAGTGAAGGAAGATAATTAGAAACTATGAAGAATAATGAATAAATTAATGATTATAAATTATAATTTACATGTTACCTGCAAATCATTCTTTTAGAATTTCTTGTTTTTTCTACTCATTTTTAAAAATACAAATATGTAGTAATGTAATTGATCGTACAATCATATTGAATACGTTTTTCTATTTAAAGATCAAGGACTTTCGATCGCAGTGAGCAAGTTCACTCGAGATAAAAAAATCTCAATCGCGATCGTGAACAATCGTGAATGAAGTTAAATCACGACTATGATCGTGATTCGGCGATCACTGTGATAAATCACCGTTAGTGATTTTGCACGCCATCTCTAAGTGGTACTCACACTAAAATGGTAATCAGACTTTAACGTTCCAGCATGGGGCGTAGACGCCCCAGAAAAGTGGGTCGCAAAAATACATCGGATATTAAGGCAGATTCAGACACGTGCAACATCGAGCACGAACACGCGCAGCCAAAATCTCGTATAACGTGGGCCTGCTTTGCGCGTAGAACCGCTAAAATCGACCCTCTCAAGAGGCTTCTGCAACGCGTGTTGTTCGCGATCGTGGCCTAGCAGGGTACACGCAAACAACGCGTATTGCAGGACACTCTTGAAAGGGTCGATTTTAATGGGTTGACGCGCAAGGAAGGTCCGAATTATACGGGATTTTGGCTGCGCATATTCGTGCTCGCCGTTGCACGTGTCTGGACCTGCCTTTAGGTCTACTCAAGATATCGTTCTGACAACCCACACACAGACGTATCTTTCTGATTTCCGTTTTTTCAACAACCTGTGTTGCGAGAAATAAAGCTCAATTAAGCACAATTGCTGTTATGATCTGTGTTTTTTGCGTTGTCGGAAGTTGTACGATTGAGAACGCAAACAAGCAATTATATCACCCGAAGAATGTAACTTAGAGCGATGTAATGTATACGTCCCAGAATCAATAACTAGCACGGAATCGATGCTTTTCATGCTTTGAATGACAAAAGATTTGGAACTATAAAATTTAGTTAGATTATCTTTGTAACTTGCGTTCACCTTTCACAGGAACATATTTACACACGAGTACGTAGTTATACATTAGATATTTAGATAGATTTCAGGTACACTTCCAGTCTAATTTGTTAATTAAAATATACACAAAAATGTATGGTATATTGTATAGTCCATAGAAAATACCTCCCCTTTTAGAATTCTCGTAATAAAATTACCACAAAATTCGTGATACCGTTAGCACCCCATTGATACGTAAAGAGAAATGAGAACCGCTTGAAGATTTATTTCTTTCGCGGTATTGTTCAATTTTCCCGCCCACGGTTGTCTACTTTACGACACATGAACGTTGGAACGTTTAAAGTCGAACGGACTCTATTTTACTATTAATTATCTATTGTGATTGTTTATGGTACTTAAGGGAGTTGCAGATTCCAAATAAGTATGAGTAAAAATGAGACGAGAAATCAACGGGTACATTACAGGTGAGGTTATCACGCGACCATACAATTGGCAACACTGGTATTCGTCTGAGAGCTTCCGCCAGTAGTCGGTACTCAACCGACTCGAACGCTTCACATCGCCATGCAAGAAGTGCGGGAGTGAAGTAGCGAAAAATTGGGGTTAGTCGCACGGTGCAGACGAAACACGCATTCGAGTTAAGGGTGCACGAATCACCCTGAAAAAAAAAAAACGAAAATTCCGTATCAGAAAGGTGACGTCTTGCCACGATGAGCGGTTTATTGAAGTTGTCCTCTTTATTGGCGAGAAATACCTTCGCGACTACGTTGGTAAGGCATTTTTCGTTAAGTTACATAATTTTTATTCCGTCAATGATGCACCTAGGCTGTGCAATAGCTCGGTGGCGATCAATTACGTAAGTTTACCAAACACAGCACCGAGAAGGATTTCCGCGCCGATTCCGCCGGAACGTTTTACCTCGTGACCTAGCATTCCATCGTCTTGCAGTCATTTACAGTCCCCGAATTAGATATAAATGAAAAAATAATGGGAATCGAACGATCGAAGATAGTTATAATTCGAATTTGTTCGAGGGAGAATGTAGAACATTTAGCAGACGATATTGACGTCGAGTGTCTTTTTTTTACAATATCCCCTTATTTCGAACACACTACCCTTCACGTCAGCCGGTTACCTCGAAAAACAGTCACAGTTTCCCACCGAAAAAACGCAATAAGGGTGATTTCTAATATGCGTTATCTTTGTTGGGCAAACAATCGTATGTGTTATTACTGACTCGATATCGAGCCTACTCGCGATATATCGAAAGAGTCCACCGTATTTGTGCTTCAGAAGATTAATTATAATTGCGGATGAGTTACCGGCACAGGAAGCTTGTATTAGCGGGAATTGCACACTTTAAATTATACGATTTCGTTTGTTACGGACTTATTGGTTTTATTACTTTTTTCTTGAATACGGCACCTTTAACCCTGTCCTGTTAATTAGGATGATCAACTATTCTGTATAAATATTTTGGAAAATCGGTGAACTATGATACCGTTAATTTATTCTTTTGGTTTAGCTGTACCTTGCGGGATGTATTATGTACGTATCGTGCGTAATTATTGTTTAGATTTAGTTTTTTTACGTAAGTTGCACAAAAATGAAAGATTAATATTAAAACATATTTTGATACAAAAGTATTTCATCGCCTACACATCATTTCCTCTTGTCTCCATATAGCGAACTATGTACACTAAACGGTATTCTTGTTGTAAAATTTTTATTTTCCTTTCGATGCACGCAATTACACTTTGACGTGTTGTCAGTTTTTAGATTTTTCAATAATACACACTATGAATGAGTGTCAATTAACGTTGTCTCACGCTGTTTACTTTTATTTTTTCTATTGACATTCATTTTTTTGAACTAATTGCACTAATTGCACAATTTTACAATGTATTTTGATCGTCAGTAATAAATCCCCGTGATATTTTTATTATTAATTACATGAATCATTGTTATAAAAAATTCAGAATTTTATTCATTTTAATTAAATCGAAAACGCACTTTATAGTATGTAATTTTTTTGAGGTAAAATTCTGGATATCTGTGACAAAAATATTAACAATGAATATTTATTAAATAGTATGTATACGTTTAAAATAATTGAAAAGAAAAATTATTTGAATTATTGAAAATTACAATTTTGTAAATAAATGGAGCAAATTCTTGAGACAATTTGTATGACTGAGTGATCGTGTTACTTTTTTCAATTTGGTTTCTATAATGGTTTCATGCTTCATAAGTTACATAGTTCATACATATACAGACACTATAGAGATACATACAATTATACTTATACAATTAAAATACATAATGTACACTCATTTGTAAAACTAAGGAAACATTAATATAAAACGTTTGTTTTGATTAAAAAAAATTAGTATTTTGCTGTTACACTATTAACAGTGAGTACTATGAAATTAAAGTATTGTTTTACTCGTATTAATATTTATGAATATGCAACCTTCACAAAATTGTGTATACAAGATAGATAAGAAGTAAATAAGTGTTACTACCTGAGAGTTATTAAAATAGCCAATTCTTATGGAAAGAAATTGAGGAAATAATTACCAAAATTTGGTTTATAATTTACAAACTATTGAATGAATTTAAATATTTAGTAAAGGTTCTACATATGCATATTGATTCAAAAATAATTCTCTTTCAATGAGATGAACAGTATTTTATCTAACAAATTTTCAGCAGATCTAATTAACAGTTTAAATAGTTCAAATAAGAAGTATGGTACACAAAATCCAGTAAATTATTAAAATTCTTGATATGTTTATATGTTCAATTTTGTAAGTGACTGTATATTTTTACAAAATGTAGAATCTGTTTCTGATGTGTTTTCATACTATTTCAGAACAATTTGAGATTACCAGTTGTTACAAATCGTAAATTCCATTACACACCAGATGGCAAAGCTGCTAAAGTGTCTGATGCTGTTTCTAAACATTATCCACTGGTAGATCATACTTATGATGCCGTTGTTGTGGGTGCTGGTGGGGCAGGTTTGCGTGCTGCCTATGGCTTGGTTGCAGAAGGCTTCAAAACAGCTGTTATTACTAAACTGTTTCCAACAAGATCACATACAGTTGCTGCTCAAGGTGGAATCAATGCTGCTTTGGGTAATATGGAAGAAGATAACTGGCAGTGGCATATGTACGACACTGTTAAAGGATCCGACTGGCTAGGAGATCAGGATGCTATTCATTATATGACTCGTGAAGCCCCAAAGGCAGTCATTGAATTGGAAAATTGTGGAATGCCCTTCAGTCGAACTTCCGATGGTAATGTTATAAATGATAACTAACATATTCTGTTTTGTTCAAAAAACAAATATATGTTTTTCTTTATTAATGTTCTAAAAAACATGTACATTTAGGATAGCCATTTATTCTAAAAACACAATTTTTGTAATATGTAGAAATTGAAATATGATTTGTATGATAAGCTACAATAGTGAAAGTATTATCAAAATATGCATCGTTGATAGGTACAAATAAATATATAATTAGTTATTGTCTCTTTATGAACTAATATCTGACAAATCTTCACTTGTTAATGACGCAGCTGATGTAGCTGAAACAGCTGAAACAGTTGAATCACTGTCTGATTCAGTGCAGTATTTCTTCTTGTCTTTTTGCTTTTCTTTCTGCATTAACACATATTTGTTGTATATAATTTATCAATAATTGTATTCTCCTTAGAATGTTGTAATTGTTTTGAGCATGAAAAAACAAACCTTGCTATTTCTTTGTTGTTTCTTTATAGCTTTTTTCTGTTTACCCTTATTTTCATTCTTTTTTGGTTCAACATTTGTTGCATTGGAATTATTTACATATTCAGTTTTCTGCTGATCTTGTTTTTGGTTTCTAATACTTTTGGCTGCCTTTATATAGGGTTGCTTTTCATTGGGTAACATTTGTCTCCATCGTTCACCAGCTAACCGAAATATTTTTATACTTCTCATACCAGTATGATTCTATAAATATCAGATTTTTTCTGCTAATAAAGGAGTATAGAAATAATTGATTTACATATCTACCTGTCGAAAATCCTGCACAAAATTTATGAACGCATTAGAACTGGTCCAGCTTTTCGAACTTTTAGTATTGCTTGGTGATCGAGAACGAGAATGAGAACATGATTTTTTATTTTGACGTGATGTAGATTGCTGTGTCAAGGTCATTCTGGAAATATACAAGTTATAATCTATCATTAGTTAGTTTGCCAATTAATTATTTTAATAATTTATGAATTACTAAGTGTATAACAGAATTTTTAAAAGAACACTCATTAATATACATAATGTATGTTCTTCACCTATTATTTGCTCCATCTTGATTTTCTGTAGTCCTAGATTCTTCATAATTTTGTTCTTGTCTTATATTCTTATCCATAATTGGAAATGTACAAATTTCTAATTCTTTAAAATTTATATTGATATTCCTGCATTTTTATTCTAAAAAAATGTCATTTTGTATAAAAATATGTTTCTGTCATCAAAATTTATGGATGTTTAAAAGTAATAATACAAATTTTGGACTAACATTTAAAAACAACAAATCATATATATTCTGGTTGCCATGCATGTGAATATTGATACAAGTCAACTGACAATGTATAAATCTAATTTAATTATTCCAAAGCGGTACTTACACACTTCAAAGTTTCATAAAAAGCTCTAGATAATAGTGAAATTCCTATTAAAATAATTATTTTTATTTCAGGGAAAATTTATCAACGTGCTTTCGGTGGGCAATCTTTAAAGTTTGGAAAAGGTGGTCAAGCTCACAGGTGTTGCTGTGTAGCTGATAGGACAGGTCACTCTTTGCTTCATACCCTGTATGGTCAGTCACTGAGCTATGACTGCAATTACTTTGTTGAATACTTTGCTCTGGATCTACTCATGGAAGATGGAGAGTGTCGAGGTGTAATTGCTCTTTGCTTAGACGATGGCACCCTTCATCGTTTCTATGCTAAGAATACAGTATTAGCGACAGGAGGCTATGGACGTGCATACTTTTCCTGCACATCCGCTCATACATGTACAGGAGATGGCACTGCAATGGTCTCCAGAGCCAATTTACCAAACCAGGACTTGGAGTTTGTACAATTTCACCCAACTGGTATGCAAAGAATATACGAGAAACAAATTACTTTCCAAAGGTTAATATGTTTTATTTAACAGAAATATGAAAAATTTTTCTTTCAGGAATATATGGCGCAGGTTGTCTTATTACAGAAGGTAGCCGTGGTGAAGGTGGCTATCTCATAAATAGTGAAGGTGAAAGGTTTATGGAACGTTATGCTCCAGTCGCGAAGGATTTAGCCTCTAGGGATGTAGTATCGAGGTCTATGACTATTGAAATCCGGGAAGGCAGGTAAGTCATAGAAATATTGTATACAAGGTGTTCTAAAGTTTCGTACAATGAAACAGCCGTTTTGGAGAAATTTCTCTATATCTTCTTGATATAAAAACAAGAAACTGAACAAATTCAATAAATCATATGAGTGTTACAAATAATACTAAAACTATGTAATAAAAGTACTTCCTTCTACAGAGGTGTTGGCCCTGAAAAAGATCACATTTATTTACAACTTCATCACTTGCCACCTGAACAGTTAGCAGCCAGATTACCAGGTATCTCAGAAACGGCAATGATATTTGCGGGAGTTGACGTGACAAGAGAGCCTATTCCTGTCATACCCACAGTACATTATAATATGGGTGGGTAATAAACCTTAAGCTATGTACAGACATTGTAAGGCTGGCTTGCGCGGCTGCCTCGCTAAGCGTGCCTTGTGTCTATAGAGGTTTTTAAAATTGATTTTAAAATTTGAACAATAGGCGATAAAATAATCCCAATTAAATATACATAGGAGGGGTACCAACAAACTTCAAGGGGCAGGTTCTAATGAGAAAGAACAACAAGGATACAGTTGTGCCTGGACTTTACGCTTGCGGAGAATCCGCTTGCGCATCCGTTCATGGCGCTAATCGTCTTGGTGCAAACTCCCTATTAGATTTAGTCGTGTTTGGTCGTGCATGTGCCAAGACAATCGCAGCAGAGAATAAACCAGGAGAAGTTATCAGACCACTTAGATCTGTTAGTACGGTTATATTGTAGTATAATGAAATGTTGTATTAGAACATACAATGTAACAAACTATGTTTAGAATGCCGGAGAGGAGAGTGTGGCAAACTTGGATTGGGTCAGAAATGCAAATGGTAACATTTCTACTGCGGAATTGAGATTAAACATGCAGAAAACTATGCAGACGCATGCGGCTGTATTCAGGATGGCTGAAACTTTGCAAGAAGGTATGCGTTTTAATTTTTTTTTTTGGTAGTTTTGAAATATCAACAATGAATAGTAAAACGGAAATTTTACACGAAAACAGAAATAAAAAGTATGAAGTGTCATTTCCGAAAATATGAATTTTAAAGATCCACAAGTCATCCTGTATTCTAACTATTAAAAATTAGATGATTTTCATATGCGTATTTGTAAATTAGGATGTACCAAGATGTCTGCTCTTTACAAGAAGCTGGGCGATCTTAAAGTATCCGATAAGTCAATGATATGGAATTCCGATCTCGTGGAAACCCTTGAATTGCAAAACCTAATGCTGAATGCAATGCAGACGATAGTGGGTGCTGAGAATAGGAAAGAAAGTCGTGGTGCGCATGCGCGCGAAGATTTCAAAGCGAGAATCGATGAATACGACTACAGCAAACCGACAGAAAACCAACAACCAAAACCATTGAATGAACACTGGCGAAAGCACACTCTCACGAAGATCGACCCTCGAACAGGAGAAGTATGCAGGATTTCTATATGACATAAAATCTATGGCATAATATAAAAAACTGTTGATATAATCTAATTATTATTATTTTTCAGGTATCGATTGACTACAGACCAGTAATAGATAACACGCTAGATAAAAGTGAATGCGCGACGGTTCCGCCTGCCATTCGTTCCTACTAAATCTTTTATTCAAAATAAACATGTGCAATTTTTAGCTTCTTTTTAGCGTTCCATTGTTAAATCTATTTGGTTGTATCATGTTTTTTTACGAAATTGGCCGCTCGTTCGATATTTTCATTTCTGTACAGGAAGAAACGGCCGAAAAAACGAAGTTACCGATAATCTAACACGATGCAGCAACTTATTTATTAACGCACATGACCTACGCCGTGCACCAAAGTTTAATTCTCGTCAAATACTTGCACGCGTTGCGAGCCAGACTAGTTGTCCTTGTAGGATAAAATGGTGCTGAGATTATCTTCATTATGTCAAAGAAGAGTTCGTTCGATCTCTTAGCGAAATCACTGCTACCATTATTATGTAAACTAATAGTGAAGTATTAGCGTGATTCAGGCAGCAAATAATTTCAGGTACAGATCTTTTACGGAGGAACGTTCATCCGTGCATTACTACGCAGCATAGTCAGTATTCCCGTTTATAAATCACTACAAAGCAATCTGTTTCTTATCAACTTTGTAAATCAACATGCTCAATAACATTTAAGAGTTGTCTAACGAAGGATTTTGTACCACGAATCGTGAGCTAGTACTCCCTAAAGGGTTGTGTAACAAGAGTATGCCACTTTTATTGCGGCTGAATACTTAACATTTTAACAGGTCAACAGGAAACAGTCTTGACTATGAGCAATAACTAGATTTAATATTTTATACTGAAACCAGTTCAGTATTTTATACCTCGACCCAATTATTTTTTCTCTATTATCGTGAAAGGATAGTTGTTTCTGTTACTTTGAAAATTCAATATTTACTTTGGCCATATATTTAATACTGTTTTTTGTACTGTTGCCGGGAATACGCCTGTTTCTGCGTTGCCTGTTAAACTTTTATAATTATATCTGTGTTTTCTAATAAACGCAAACGAACAGTCTCGAATTGGAAGTACATTCATGGAATGTTGTGTACTTCGGAGTAAATTCAGCTTGACTGGACATGCTACACAGCATGACAAAAATGTGTACATAAGATTGTCAATAAAAAATAAGCATTCGTATAGCCTTTTATTCACGGAAAACGATTTCGTTGCGAATTATCCTATGAGCATTTCATATGCTAGTATACGATGGTGTGTTAGATATGTATGTACGTATGTATACGTTAGTAATACTATTTTTTATTATTAATAACACGCAAATATTTGGCGAATGTCATTTATTAAACTCATAGTTTTAAAGTTCTGGTCATAAATAATAGGTTTACGGATTAAATACAAATGTTACCAAAGGTATTTTCTAAAGCATTAAACTAAAGCTCGTTCGCTGAGCTAATACTTCAGAAAACGTTACGAATTATACTTTAATTTAAATGAGCATGAGTCTAATGAACATGTTCTCACATACAAAATATTAAACCATTAAAAAATACAGATATGTTCGAAAAGGAATATCGTGCATGAATGTATGTACAATCGTTTACGAAACATTATACAAACGTCTGATAATTATTGCTTTAAAAAAATTAACTGCAGTACAAATTCGAAAAATCATTTACACCAAAGTAAATGGTTTTATTTCTTTTTAAATTATGTCTCTTGCGTGAAGCTACATACATATCTTCAGCTGGAACTGAGTTGTAATATTAATTAAAAATGTACTATTTTCTAATGATTCAATCCAAAATCGTTTTTCTATTTAGTGAAACTACTGGCGGCACACAATCATTAAAAATTGTCATTTTTATCGCAGTCACAGTATATTTATTTTGTAAAAAGGAGTAAATTATATTTACTAGCTTCTACTTCAACTAACATTTCTTCCCTCAGTTCACAGCTTCTTAAGCTAATTTTGTGTCGCTTGGCGCTTACAACTTTTTCGAAATGCAATCGTAGACAAAGACGTATCTTATACAGTAGTTCAACATTTTTGTTATCCACGGTTTTTAATTGTATATATTCAGAAGCTCATTTTTGTATTCAATTTAAATTAGACCTTCCAGGTACGTAAATGGTTAATTCTACATTTGATGCGCCTTGTTTAACTATGAGTACCACTTTTTTTACGAATTTCATCTAATTATCAGTCTAATACTCGAATACAATAATAATATTCTCGACAGATACATTCCTTCTGTTTTCAGAGTAAAAATTTAGCTTCTAACTTTTATTCGCTACGTTTTCATTGTAATATTGATTACATGTGTTACTCTTTGAGATGTCAGTTTCCTTTTTTTATTATTAAATTTGAACATCATGTTCAAATATGGATGAACATACCTTCATTTGAATTTCAATTTTATAACAAATTGATCTAATAACAGAAATTTGTTTATCTAAAAGTTGAAAATTATTGTACATTTCTTCGAGACTAAAGTTACGTATCTAAAAAGAAGTCTAAGGAGTGACTGTTTATTACCCGTTGAACTTGAAAGAGATCCCTTGTAGATCTATTGAACGCATTGACGTACATTTCTGAAGCTACGTTTCATGCTTAACGCTCATATGCAATTATATTTCGTTCAAGTGTCACAGTTCATATAGATTCAATTTATAGGGGTTTACTAGTGTCAGGTCAACAAAACGTGACTACAAAGTGAATTCTTCCAAACAGTACGAAGACTTACACATTTATTTTTTCACTGTTTAAAACGTAAATCTGGTAATACAATTAACGCTACTATAGAGACTTGTACAGTCCGTACGAAATATAGCTCAGGATTTAAAAAGCACAAAGACATCCAACGCATTGCAACAAAGTTTCTCGAATGTAATCTATCGAGACGCCTATCGCCAGTAGCCATAAGTCCACGTAGTTGCTTGTGGTATTCAAGACGTCGATGACGACGAGGAACCGGTGACGTTCGTTTCAACTTTTGCAAAGGAATCTGCCAAATGACCGTTCCTGGTAATGCATCGTAGACTGAGGAAGCTGTGGTGTAAGAATGGTTTTCACAGTTGTACTGTCGTCCATCCGTTCTCTCCTACTCAGGAACATAATGTATCATCTAATGTAATCAGAATCCACATTCACACGCTTCCGATTCGCACAATGATAGTGGATGACACTATATGGATGGTGATGGATTAAGTCTTGTGCTGGATGACAATACACGACGTCTTTCTATACGTTTGTCGCCGAGCATCGTTCACGAAGTAGCTCGTAGTTTCTCCAACGCTGGCACCAATGACTCCTCGAGAGATGGGCCGCAACTCAGTCCGCATTCGCCGATCCATCTTGCTTTACCACTGGCGTGGGACTGAAATGAACGAAAGATCGTTTCAGTGTTGGTATATACAGAATATTTCACCAGCGAAACACATATGTACAGGGTATCAAAGAATTACATGTCGCGGCTATCATAGCTGGATTCCATACCTTCGATTTGATAGAGATACAAGTAAAAACGTTGCCGCAAAATTGACCTTGACTTTTGATTTGAAGGTAAAATTTTTTTATGGTTGCATTGTATTCTACTCATCCTGAGGGTAAAAAGTCTGAAAGGAACCATGTAATTTTTTGACACCCTGTACATACAATATATGGTTTTTATTTTTATTTCTCTGATTTTTTATGGAACACTGCTAATTTATGTTTACGTGTTTTTATTTTAATAAATGAATTGAAATATTTAGCGTGAAAAATGGATGCCTTTGAATATGTATGAATACACTCAACGTTTAGCGCTCGATGCTCGCCGGCTCGGAATAAAAGTGCTGCCGAAAAGTATTCATATTTCGAGTAGGTATCAAATAGATATCGATACTCTCATTAGGTACCAAACAAGTATCGATACTTTGGAGTAGGTATTAAAGCCCAGATGCCACATGACGCCCAATGACGCCTTGATGACGGCTTAAAGGCGCCTTAGATTTAAAATAGCTGTAAAATGGGCGTCTTCAAGGTGCCCTGTGCTATTTGGGAGAGGTATTGATTCTTTTTGATACCTACGCCTTTGATATGTATCAATAGCGTATTGAAACTTGGAGAAAGGGTATCGATAATATCGATACGGTATCAGTTATGTCACTAATTGTTGGTAAAGACTAGATAGTCATTATCACATAGACATATACAGGGTGTCCAAAAATAGATGTAAGTCCTTGAAAGGAGTGATTCCTGCGGTGATTTGAAACAACTTTTTCTTTGGCGAAAAAGTTCTTCGAGGCTTTGTTAACGAGATATTAACGAAAAAGCCCAACCAATCAGAGCGCGAGTTTGCCGACCGAGTTCCCGCGGTAACGTTGGTTACGCGCTGCGATTGGTAGCCGACGTTACCGCGGGAACTCGACTAACAGACTCGTGCTCTGATTGGTCGAGGTTTTTCGTTAATATCTCGTTAACAAAGCCTCGGATAACATTTTTGCAAAGGAAAAAATTGTTTCAAATCATCCCAGGAACCCTTCATTTCCGGGAGTCGAAGCTATTTTTGGATATCCTGTATACTGGATACGGTATTGGGGCTTCTAAGCATAGGAAGCTGCTGTGATCAGAGGGGGGCAGCTATTTTTTAAAATGAACCACATGCGATGTCTGACGAGCGTCCCTGGTACTAACTACATTCTACAGGAAGTTTATAGCACTGATGAGGTATTAGAATTCTTATACCCCGTCGGTGTTTATAACTTTTCGAAGGTGTATTTTTCTCCTTTTTCGTCAAGACATGGTAGCGTTGAGTTACACGTCTGAGAGATAAAACAGTTATCAGGATGGTTGATTCTAATATCGCGTGGACAGGTATTTACTTCGTCTATGGACAAGCTGACAGAAACTGTAGAAAAGCTCAGCGTTTATATCGTGAGACTTTTTCGCAAAGACGATGCCTTAGTAAGGTACATTCATTGCGATGCATCGTTGGCTTAGAGTTTAGAGAAACTGGATTTTGTTCCACTACGAGCTACGTAAAGAATTAACATGCAATTGAAACCAACACGACTACGTTTAAAACCAGGGACGTTCGTAGGGCATTACATGTGGTTCATTCTCAAAGATGATAGCCCCTTTATGATCACAGAGCCAACGAGCCTATACCATATCCAGTATACAGACTCCTCTCGATTATTGTCCCGAACTCGGGTCTGCACCGGGACAATAATCTTGTAGGGAGAAATGCTTCAGACCCTCGTAAATTCATTTTTGCTCAAGTATGCGCTTGCCGGGTTCCACGCCCCCCCAGTGGTGGAGATGACGCCTGCACAATAATCATGGATCAACAATCAGTCAATAATCGCGAGGTCCCTGTAGTAGGTTTCCCATTTACGAGGGGGGTGGGGGCACTCCAAGATTTCCCGCGCATGCGCAGTCCCTTCTGTATTAGCCTAAATTGCCAGTTAATTGGGTCGTTTAAAATGAAAAATTAAATGTTAAACGTAGGCCTATTATTACTTGCCATACTCTGTCAACTTTGCATGTTGTTTTTGTATTACCGCCACATTCGTAAACTCATACAGAAAATAAGGTTTTTCGGCCTCTGACTTCGAGATGTGAGTGCTCGAAACGTTCTACAAGGCTTGAAATTTAAATTGAATGAAATTGGGTTTATTGAAGTGAATTTTGTAATGTAATAAATTTAAGTACTAGGAGCACTCCGTTTTAGAGGTGTCGCGTCAGGTCGATCCAAGCGCTTTTTACGATATTTACAAGGGTACACGGTGGTTAAAGAAAAAAATAGATCTTTACCATGGTGAGGTCACGTTTCCACACGGTGTGGCAACGTCCGTCGCAAAGTGGGCAGGGCCGTTGAAGGGAGTATCCACCACACTCGCTGCAGTCAAGAGATACGTGTTCTTCGCTCCACGAAACCCCGCATCTATAGACAGAAGAGTAGTCCTTCGTTACTAAACCTGTCTAATAAAATTTTTTTTGTTAAAGAAAATGTATTCGGAAACTAAGAGTATTCGAAATTCTGCGTTGACCACATAAGTCAAGGTCATTAGCCCTTCATTAGTCAGAATAACTGCTGCATTTTGCAGCGTTTTTGTTTATCATTTTTTAATAAAAATCGAGTGACAGCTAAAACCTCCTGAAGGTCACTGAGGAAGGTGTCTTTGACAATACATCTCAAGGTCAAGGTCGTCGGAGGTCCTCCTCTATTCTAAATATTTCGTCGCATGTCAGCTAGTGAATTTGAAATGATATTGTCGTTAAAAGTACCAGCAATAGCAAAGCGGGATACTAATTATACATCTAATTATAGATTCCAGTACATGAACGTCTGGCTATATCTGTGCGGTTTTAGCTACAGACGATTCTTTTACTAGCTTAATGGACCTTTTTAAAGTATCAAAACAGATTATATCTCAAATAGTGCTTGACACGTGTTTAGCTATGAAATTCTTTATTCTTTATCAGAGGGTCATTCCACGCGAAGTCGGACACATTTTGGAGTAACATTTAGGATTTTGTTCAAACTTGGATGTGTTTTAGCCTTTAATGATATATAAAAGTATTTCGAAGGAGTTTTTAAAAATTGTTAAATCGTCCATTTTACAGTTGTTTGAAATATGGTGTCAATCTTTTTTCTATAAATGATAACTGTTGAACTAACAGATTAATCAAAATGAGCTTTGTACGGAAATACTGAACGAATTTAACTAATTTATTATATAACTTTTTAAATTAAATATAAAATATACGTACTGAGCAGAAATCGGAACGTGATTAGAAATAGGGACATTGACCTTACTGTTCGCGAACAACGGTGGAAACGAGTCTTTACTCGCTTGACTGGTTTCACCCCCCCCCCCAGTGGTTCATGCCGGGAGATCAACGGCGGCGGACCATAATAGAATCAGACAATAATAGAGAAAATATGTATTGTACTGCAACTTCGCTCGCACAGACTCGCTTACTTTCTCTTAAGCAAAACCAATAAAAAAAAAACATTTTCTTCGATTATCACCTTCAATTTCTAGTAGAAAAATTCAAGCAGTTTATGAAATAATTTAAGTTTTGTATTATTAACGAATGGCACAACTTCTTAAAATAACGCCAGATTCAGAGTAGCGGCTAAAAGCACAATCAGATGACGATCAATCTGAATTTAGACTATGTCTCTTTCATTGGATTATGTGTGAGCGATAAAGACTGCTGCCGGATTTGACGTGATCTCACCGTACCGTAACTGCTGGTGTGAATCTGGTTTAAATGTTCAGAAGACAAAGATACAAACAGAAAAATGGCGCATGAGAAATAATCTTTATTAAACGTAATAGTTTAATAAAAAATAAAATTACACCTTGTATGTTGTATAAATTATGAATAAAATTTTTGAGCCGTTGCAGACCTTGCCACGATTTCAATTCTGCTGTAAGAACCCTTTCCAACCCCACCCTATTGTCACAATCCAATATATGTTCTTACAAAAAAGAGAAAAACAAACATTCAGAAGCATTCTGTTTTTGCGAATCTCGCCCTCATCTTGTAGCTAGGGATGAATCGATACAAGTAAATACGAGTACATCACTCGATACTTTTGTTTCGATACCGAGTACCTTTGGTATCGATACCAAGTAGGTGTCGAAAAAAAGTACTCGTATCGAATGGAATGAGTATCGACCCATCAACATTTGATATTGTAATTACTTTCAACACAAAAGAATGTTGTTTATATTAATAATTAAGGAATGTGTATTTAAATATTGTAAATATTAAAATAATATGGGTATAATAAGGTTATATATTTAAATAAATATATAAAGTTTAGTATTGTATTTTATTTTCTCTGAAGGTATAAACAACTTTTGTGTTGGGTATCAAGGTTAGGGAAATATAAATCGATACAAGTAAGTATCGATACCTTCATACAATACTAGCAATGAGTAAAAATATCGATACATATTGCATACAGATTATTTCTAACTACTCCTATCGCAAATTGTGAGGGCGAAAGATCATTTTCTGTATTGAAGAAAATAAAGAATATGTTAAAGCGACTATGTTAAACGGTCGGTTATCATGCTTAACACGTTTAACAATTGAAGCTGAATTATTAAGATCTATCGATTTTGAAGATGTAATAAAAGATATTGTAAAATTAAAATAAAAAAAAAATGTTAATTAAAAGTTTTTAAAAAATATCTTGTCGACGTTTGTCTTATATGTAACATTATTTATTTGTAAATCATTATTACTTAGAAATATTTAACTCAATTTAATTTTAATTTATTTAGAATAAGTTTCAGTTTTTGAGGAATTATGTTTTATTACAAAATCCCCCCCCCCCTCCACATTTCTACCGAGAGGGTCCCCTAAGATTTGATAGCCCCGGGCCCCAAAAAAGTCTTAATCCGGACCTGGTTAAAGTGGTATCTGCAGAGTATTTCGAACTTGTTACTGTGTGGTTCAAATATGATTTTCCAACCTTCTTAATAGCAAAACTATGCAGATTGAACATTATTTCATAACATATCACCTCTAGGCAATAAGATAACAGCTTGGAGAATATCGCCATTGAGTACCTGCCTTGATATAATTATAAAATCAGAATGTAGATCTAATTATAAAACCAATAGGTTATGGAAATGTCTTGAATTCATCTATAGCTATGGCAACGCTACTTTGTAAGAGTGTCAGAAAAGATTCTTCTAGCAGCTACACAAGATCTTAATTTAAAATGATTTTTCTATTATACACATATTATTACGTAAACTCGATGTTTTCATTATTATGGTATATCTACTTCTGTACAATTTTTCATTGTTTTTAGGTATTTCTTAATGTATACATAATGCAGGTCATCTACGAATAAAAAAAAAGTAAAGATGAACTAATGATGAACGCGATTGTGTAACAATAATGTTCATTTCAGGGATGGAAAAAGAACCGTTTATGTGATAGCGGTTCGGTGCCGGTACTAGAACCGGTTCTACTTTAGGAGTGGCTTTACGGTTCCCGTACTAGAACCGGTTCTACTTTACGAGTGACTTTATGGTTTCGGTACTAGAACTGGTTCCACTTTATGACTGGTTCCGGTACTAGAACTGGTTCCATTTTATGAGTAACGGTTTTATAATAAAAAAACGGAACCCTTAATTCGGAACCGGTTCTTTCGTCGGAAGCGGTTCTTCATACGCTCAGTGGCTGAAGCGACGTCAATAGAAACATATGCATGCGCATGTGTGTGCGCATGCATGTGACGTATGTCAGATTTTTCGAGAATACTCTGTATTCAAGAATATTCACGACGCAGCTGGCGTAATTAACAAAAAACAATCAAGAATGAATGTGTGTGCGTGCGTGAATTGCACATAGCACGTGGCAAGGGGCTCTGGAAAATCCTAGAAGGTTCAAAATCCGGAATCATGCAGCGTGCCGTCTACAAGAATAATTAATAATTGATAAACAGAATCGAGTAATTAAAAGACTCGCTCTGTGCCATGGGCGATCAGTATTTTACGAGTCAGCACACACAAAGAAATAATTCCTTTAATGTTGATATACAGGGTGGCCCACATAACTCTTAACAGCTCAATATCTCGACAACTATGCCATCGGTTTTAAAGTTCTTGGTCTTAAATTGCATGAATCTGAAGGGCCTTTCTAACTACATAAACGTGAAGTGGCCCCCCTTCCCCTTTAAGGGGGGCCGGGGGTACCTTTATAATTTTAAATAGAAACCCCTATAAAACGTTACATATTTAGATTCTACGGGGAAAAACAAGTAAATTTTGTCTGAAACATTTTTTTGTCAGATATTTCCTTGATGAGATATAACAGTTTGAAGATTCGACTTGTAGGTACTTACTTGAAGTGCTCGCAAATTGCGTTATTGAATTATATGCTCTTGAGTCCTTTGCTTAATCGTGAAGAAATAAACTGTTCTTTAAATTAAATGTTCAAAATGTCCACCACGGGCTTGTAAACATTTATTTACTCGAAACATCAAATTTGTTCTAACATTTGTTAACATTTCGGGAGTCACTGAAGCGCAAACGTCACGTATTCTTTGTTTCATATTCTCTTTTGCCGTCGGCGGTTCAAACATAACGATACGAACATAGTTTTCGAGATATTGAGCTGTTAAGAGTTATGTGGTCCACCCTGTATATGGGGGCTTCTTAAAATGTCTGTAAACTGTAAATATTGACGTTCTTCGATTCTTCTAAATAATCGATTAATAATGTGTAGGTAATGTATATAATACACATATAATCTTTCTACATGTTACGAAAGATGATAAAACTACAAATTGCCGAGATAGTGGAACGAAATATTGACAGTTTATCTAGGGAAAGACTGTAAATTTGAAAAGAAAAAAAATGGGTGGGTATGATCGCAATTGCCCGTGCGTTTTGACGTGAAATGGCCAGAATGGCTCTCGTACCTGTGTATTTCAATACTCGTGTACTTTGTACCCTTGTATTTCAATACATACCCGTGTACCCGTGTATTAAAAATTACATGGGTATATTAATTACACGTGTAGATGTGTAGACGTTTTTATAGCCACAGCTTAGATTGCTTTCTCACTTCGTTACTCTTTCCATCCCTGACCTAACCCCTTAAGAGCTGCAATTCTTATTACTCAAAGAGTAACAATCAACGCACACTTCACGCATTCCGAAAATCAGATTTAAAGAACGGCCAGACAGATGACCAGGAACCGGTTCAGAAATTCCGGAAAACTGGTTCTATTACCGGTTCCAGTACCGGTTCTGAGATTGGCATTTGAAGGCAAAACCGGATCTCACAAAAGAACCGACATGAGGTTCTTAGAGCGGATCTCTTACCGATTCTTATGGAGGCGGTTCTTGAATGCAGAAACCGGTTAAGAACCGGTTCCAAACGAACTGGTTCGGTTCTTTTTCCATCCCTGGTTCATTTACATTCCTTATTCTTAGTTTAGATCCTTCGACAGTCGATCGATAAGGAGTGTGTATAGCCGATTCAAAGATATAGTGTTAGCCATAAACATGGCCGCCCTTTAAACCATTAGTACTAGATCATCGGGGGCCCATTGAGCCTCACTTCACTCAGGGTCGTACGCCATTTTCAGCTATGGGATTCCAAGAAATAAAACGAAAAAGACTGGAATATTTGAAAGAAATTTACGTTTTCGTAAGTTTTCGTCAAGAATAAAAGGGCCACAAGTATTTTAAATCTGAAGGTAGTACGTTACAAGAACTTGTTTATTACATTAAAACCGAAAAACCGATCCCAAATTGACGTCGTACGCTCCTGAACGATGATCGAGCACAGTTTTTACAACTCAAGGGTATCGAGTGACAGGATTAGGTTACCGAAACACATAAACTTTAGGGTCGGTCAGGTTTATGGCTAACGCTATATCTTTGAAGCAGCTATACTAATGACTATCTGTTACCAGCGCCGGATCAAGGGGGAGTCTACGGGGGGCTGTAGCCCCGGGCCCCACGTTCCAGAGGGGCTCCATTCTGAACCTTCCATTTCGTTCTGATTAAATGTTATTCAATTTTAAATAAATTTCAATAATTTTCAAAACTTTAAATAAATTTCAATAATTTTCAAAACTTTAAATAAATTTCAATAATTTTCAAAACTTTAAATAAATTTCAATTCATGAAGATTTATGTATAATATCCCTAGGCCACAAAAAAATTTTGATCCGGGCCTGCCTGTTACTTATATCCTCCTTTTCAATTGTAATTATCCCCTTATCGTTGGTATAGGCCTTATTTCTACTGGCAACTAGCCGCGTACGATGCGAAATGACTGAATCGGAGACGCCCGCGACACCAAAGTTTGTCACAAACAATATCGTATTTTGCACAAAATTTTCTGATTCTACGATGGTGTATTTATGTTTGCATATCTATACTTTTATGCTTCAAAAAATTAAAATCACTTATCCGACTGCTTTTTTTTCTTCATCTGAATGTTCTTCGTCAGCAAATATCATACTTATATCGCCCCATGAAGATTTCTTTTTATTTATTTCAGAAAGATCTGAACATTCCTTATTCCATATTGATGGATGATTTATGTTTTCTGAATGAAATGCTCAGAATTCAATGAATCCATATTGCGAACGTTTTCACACATCATTTTCTCTAATATTATCAGCAATCTGGTGTTCGGTCGTACGCGACTTTTTGGCAAGTGGGTATTGCAACGCATAATCCCATAAACTTTGAAGTCAAAGAAGCCAAAGAAATAAGGCCAATATCCATAATATTTTCGCGGTATTTGGTTTGGTCAGAATGGCGGCGAAATTGAGGAACAACAGAAGTAGAAATTTTGAAGAAAAGGTAAATAGATATTCAATGAAAACTTCAATTATCAATATTTAATTTTTATTGTGTTGTTATAAATTATTAGAAGAATTATTATTGAACTAGAACTATGAAAATGACGAATATCTTTTCTTAGCACGAAATAAATAAACAAAGAAACATGAACCCATATAAACGAAGTAACAATATGAGACATGCACAGGGCGGTTCTTGGGTTGTTGGCCGCCTGGGTGCGAAAACAGTATCGTCGCCTTTATTAATTTAATATTATTCAATTAAGAATTTAATATGCAGTTTAATTTTTATTAAATATATATATATATTTTTTTAAATAAAATCATTAATTTTTTAAGGATCTTCGTTTCATTTTATTAAAATAATAAATATTTTTTATTTTTTGTTTTCATAACATGAAACAAGGATCCTTAAAAAATGAATGGTTTTATTTCAAATGAATGTTTTATTCCATATACTATAAGTACGAAACTGACGCATAATGTTTGTAATAATGATGTCATGGTTGATAATTAGAGACCATTAATTATCTACACGAATTTAATCCACTAAATATTGGTAAATGTCATATGCTATTTTGAGTTGTCCATAAAGATAGTTTCTTCTTGTATACGAGTCTTGTTACAAAGATTACATGTACAATTAATTTGATTAAATTCTGTTGGTCTAAAAGTTGCATAATCATCCGAAAACTTATGATTATTATTCTTACTAGTCCGAGTTTTACATATAATAAACGATCAAGCCCGTGAGTTTGGCCGTCCAGGTGCGGGGGCACCTCTTACACCCCCGCCAGGAACGGTCCTGGACATGCATATACTGTACTTATTATGCTGTCCCATATCGCGATAAACATGTTAATTGAATATTCTAGTAATCAAATCGTTGTGTCTTTTTAGTAATTTTGACGATAAAAGTCGACAGTACTAAAGGGAAGCTTTACTAATTGTAAGTGATCTCTCGAGTTCGAACTTGGAGTTTTTTCCAAGAATTTCGATTCTCCCGCGAATGGCGCAAAGTGAGGATTCCATTGAAATAATTAACCCTTTGGGAATAATGGAGTTCAAACCGGATTTCTTCGCTTAATATACAGCTGACATCTGAAACGAATTCAATCATGCGCGGTGGTTCTGGAGCGGATCGGTTCGGTTTCAATTATCGTCGGGTTGGGTGGGTTCAAGCCTGCGCAGTAAACGGGCCACGTTCTCAAGGTCCACAATGATGCGCGATGGATCACGCGCGATTAGAAGTCGTCGAGCCGACGATAACACTGCTTAACATAGTTTAACTTTTGTCGACTTCGTAACCTTCGATAGGCGTTTCTGACAGAATTTTATGAGCTGAGTATGAATCTGCAAACCGTTTTTCCAGCAGGCACAGTTTAAAAAAAAAAAATTTTTTTAAAATGACAAATTTTCAACTTTGGAGATGTGTTGTGCTTTTACAGTAATAGTTATTCAGTTGCTTTCGACAGGAAATAATTCTCTGGGCTCACCCGAACAAAATGATGTAAATTGATAGTATATTATAGACATCTAAGTATGTTTAAATAACGCTCAAAGTGAAAAGAACCCTAAAAACGCGCCAATTTTGCTGATATTCTTCAATTTATGTCAAAAATTAAGGGTCAAGGAGAAAATGTAATCACAGCACGCATTAGAGTAGACAGTTCTGCTAAGGAAGGTGTTAAGGATAGCTACAAAATCTATTTTGTTTTTAATAGAGAAGCGAAACAGTTCAGCAAAACACGTGACGGTGACAGTGGTACTCAATGACGGCGGTCACTTTGCCTCTGCGCGTTTAGCACTTCCATTACGGCATAATTTCCTATAATGCCCAGTTTACACCTAACGAGTACTCGGCCGAGAGAAGCTGCCTACCCCCCGATTTCGATCATTTTTGGATATGTTGTAAAACTCGACATTTTGAAGAACTGTTTCCTGTACATATAACGGGGGGAGTTACTTAGTTTCCGAGATATTCGCGAAGAATTGCCAGTACTAACACATTGAAATAGTTGTGTTTATTTGACCGCAACAGAGTAACGATTCATTCTTAGCAGAGTTATTAACGTGAATGGACGTTTAATTTCAAAGAATTGCAAATCGATTAGTATAATACTTCAAAGTTGGTTAGAGGCTCAAGAAAAAAAAGTAATTCAAAGTTGGTTAAAGACAGTTATTTTTTTCCTGAACTGTCGCTAACCAACTCTGATCAGTATAATGCTTCAGAGTTGATAAGAGACAGTTCAAGAAAAAAAGTAAGTCAGAGTTGGTTAGAGACAGTTATATTTTTCTTGAACTATGTCTAATCAACTTTGAAGCATTATACTAGTCGAGATGCAATTCTATAAAACTAAACGTCCGTTCACGTTAATACCTCTACTAAATAAGAATGAATCGTTATCCTGTATCAGTCAAATAAACGAAAGCTAAGGTTAAGCTAAACGAAGCTATGGTCTGTTTTTCGAAAGATGATGCCTGGGAGGTAGGCCCGAGTTTTCGCGGTGTTGCCGCGATCGCGAGACACCTACAGCACTTGTGTCTCTTTCACTCTTCGCGTCTTGACCAATGACGTGCGACCGTCGACGTGAGTCCTAGCCTACGGTCGTCTGTCTCCATCGTCCAATCATTCATTGTCTGGAAATGGCGGAGAATGTTGACGAGACGCTGAACGTTTTCACACGTCAACAGTTAAAACACATGAATAAGAAAAAGTTTATTCCTTTTGAAAGAATGTATTGTACCTAAATATTGAGCAACATATTAAAAGGGGATTAAATTAATACGTAGGTTATTAAACGCTACACGTGGAAATCGCAGGGTAAAGAAGGAAGTTGGTTTACCGAGCGTCTGAGCGAGAGGCTCGCGAGCCGAAGTGCCGGAGGATGGAAAGAGACACACAGTGGCATTGAGACCGTGACAACGTCGCACGAAATACGCAGCTCGCGTTGTATCCCCACCAGGCCACGCGCCAAGAAAGGGAAACCTTCCAGGGCTCTTCTTTCGTGGAACAGACCATAGGTAATTGCGTTGCAATGTTTTAGATGTACTACAAGTCTATTTTTGAATTTTTGAAAAATATCAATTGTCTTTTCAAATATTATTCCAACGCTTTTGTAAAACAGACCATGTATTTACAAGTGCAATATGTTAAAATCTTTGAAACGTCTTTCGACAATTATATTAAAATAAAAAGTAAGCAGATTTGGAAGGAACAAGATCATTCTTGCAGTTCCCGCAAATATTTTTCGCTTCGTTACATGTAAAAAAGAAAAAAACAACGAACAAAATGTTCATGCCAAGACACTCACGTGAAGCAAGAGTTCAGTTGAGCACGAAGTTCCTCGATGGTAAGGATAGTGTCCTGGTACTGAGGATGCGAACCTTGGAGACCATCGTCCACACTTCCGCACAGGCTGTGGCAGGACAGAGAGATGTTGCTTCTGAAACAAGAAAAACAATGAAATTTTAATTCGCTATCTTATAACGCTCTATCTGTGAAATGCACAGTATTTTCCCTTTATAAATGCTTGGGAGTAGCTACGCAACTACAACAATATTTGTAGATAGTAGGGTAGACCAGCGCAGTTCCTGGCGGACACACAACAGGTGCCCCCAATTTATTATATGTAAATTTCGACTAATAGGAATAATAATCAAAACTTTTTTGACGATTCTTAAAATTTTCAACAAACAGAATTCAATCAAATTAATTTTATATGTAATCTTTGGAACACTACTCGTATACATCAATGCGCTCTCTTTATACACAGCCCAAAAAAGCATATGATATTTAGCCATATTTATTGGATTAAATTCGTGTAGTTTATTAATAGTTGATATCAACTATCACATCATTGTTACAAACACTATACGTTAGTTTTGTAGTTGTATGTAGAATAAAATATTCATCTTAAATAAAACCATTTCTTCTTTAAGGATCTTTGTTTCATTTTATGGAAATAGAATTTAGAAAATATTTCTTTGCATGATACCTGTTAAAAAACCATGTATATAGATTAAAACTACTGAAACATACTTTTGTACCATATGATGCTTAGATAAAAATTAATTAAACATGCTTTTATATAGATATAAAAGTAAACACAGCAGTAATCAAATAATATTAAATTAATAAGGGCGGCCATATTTTTTTTGCACCCGGGCGGTCAACAATCCAGGAATGGTCCAGGGGTAGACCGAGGCTTATCGGATCAAAATAAGAATTCCGTCCATATTTTTTATGTTCTCATGGAAACGGGCATTTGATTGTTCATATTGCGTTATCCTTGTCCCCCACACTCAATCCCATAATTATTTGGGGTGAATGGGATCACTCTTTTTCTTCGGTTGAATATTTTTATGATTATAAATGTGATAATTCTTTATATACACACAGTTCGTAAGTACATTAAAAAGACCAATCAAGGTTCATGGTGTCCCGAAAAAATGAAAGAAGATTGAATACAGTGCAATGTCTGTAAAGAGTGGTGTCATGAGAATTGTGCTGATAGAGGTGGTGTTAAAGGACAGTATACTTGCGTCCTATGTGCCAAGTAGGGTCAATTGAACCCATTATCATTAAATTATTTTTTTATTTTTATTAATTTAAACATATTTTTTATGAAAATTTGAGTTTTTTAAACGTAACAAATTTAATTTAATGCAATAAATAAAAGAAACAAAATTATAAATAAATAAAATAATAAAAATTATGAACTAAATCTATAAATGTATACATTATAAATTAATAAATAAATAACACTAAGGGTAAATTGCAATCTATTATAATGTATATGTTATATGTTTGGTAAAAGCTATTAAACATTTATCTTTATACATACATTTAGGAAATTTTGCATTAAAAACAAACATAGTGTTTTAATTTTGATTATTTATAAACGTTTTTAGAATATTTGATTTATTATAAACGTTTTATAGAAAATATATATTTTAAATAAAACAAAATTAAAATTAAACAAAATTAAACCAAGTTAAACAAAATTAACAAAATTAGAATTATTCCTTTTTTTTTATTTTTGATTTTTAACAGCTTTGACCGCATTATTCACGTCTTGTTGTGAATAATTTTTTTTGCTCACCTTTCTCTTCGGCATCTTGAAAGTCTTACTGTTATAAAAAATTCCCGAAACAAAAGAATTCAGTACGCGAATCGCTTAGGTTATGGTTGTGTCAAAATAATATGATACTTATGTATGAAATATGTAAGAAAAGCTAAAACTAAATATTGTTATTAATATAAAAAACACAAAAATACCTACTATAATATAACGAAAATAACTTTTGAAGTCATACACTAACTCTCTGCTCGAAATTGCTCGAGTGACTGGACAAGCGTCCAACGACTACGCAGTCAACATTATTATCATGTACCAGTAAATAAACTCGGTAATTTCGACATTAAAAGAAAGAGGTTTTATTAAAACAAAGTTGGTAGCAATTCTGGAGACTTTACTAATTGTAAGTTCAAGAAACTGTTACTTAATAGAAACACACGAATTATTTATTATTTACGAGCTTTAAGAAATGCGCTCTCAATGTTAGCGAAACATTTACGAAGGCATTCATGTTGCCTCAAGTTCATGGTTGCTAAATCATAATATTTTTTTGTAAATAATACGTCGTGGTTTTGCGAACATTTTTATATGATTTATGATAACAAACAACTAAGGATAATTAATTTCTATCCATAAGTTTACTATTATTTTTAAAAAATTTAATATTAACAAAAATTCAAGATAGTGTCCAATCACCAGGTGTGTCCAACCACTGAGACATTTACCTTATAAAAATTTAGTGTATAATATGCAATATAGACCAGATGAATATTCTCATTAAATATTTCATGCAATTAGACTGGCATATTGCGTTCTTTTATAGTCCAAGTATCAGAAGATCAAACTGTCAGTTTTTTTTTTTAAAGAATGTTTCGAAACAAGAAGTATTAATACAATTACAACAAATGAGAGTCCGTAACCGTCTAGTTTTTTCTTTCCTTTTGCGATACGTAAATATGTATTTGAAATTGTAATACAAATTATGTAACGAGGCTTCTTGACGAAGACGAAGATTAGAATGTACGTCAAGGAATTTTATCGTCGTGTTCAACATTTATTACGATTTTCACGATGTCTGGAAATTTCAGGCACACGTGAACAGCGTGTGCAACCGGTTATTAACTAAAAATACATCAATTATTCAGTATAATAGCGGGAAATATATTTTTTGTTTCATATGGCGTGAATGATATTGAATTCTATTTTGAAACGTACACTTCATTAATTATTGCCTTTTATTACCGAACGCTTAGTGGCCCGACCGTAAGAAATCGTCAAAGTACGATTCATATGATGTACAAATCTATTTTCGATATTGGATTTGTTTCTTTTTTACAGATTTTCCATATAAAGTCATTTTTTGCGAATCCTTTTACACAGAAAAAACTTTGCTGAAACATGTATCAAGCAGAAACATGTATGTATTTAAGTATAATTACATTACAATTTATAGTACGTAGTACATCTGAGTGCAGTTTTTTCGTCTGATAATCAACTATATCTTTACATATTGGTCATTATGGTATTTACATAAAGAATAGGTTGAATATTCAGTGAAATTTCATGCGCTAACGAATTGCGCTTGCGAGTTTAAATTGTTTTTTTTTTTACATAATAACGATATAAAGTACAGAAAACGATCGCAAAAATAGATCATATTGACATTATTTATATCGACACAGTATCTTATACCGTATCAGAATATTAATTCATCTTTCTTTTTTATAATGACTTAGAGAAAGACTTATTCCAGTAATTTATATGCGGTGCTCGAATAATACGTACCGCTTCAGGCCCGACGCACACGAGAGGCACGCTTGCAGCCGCGTTATGGCAGTCAGGCCCGCGTTAAGATTTTTTGTGGCTTAGGGCTATCAGATTTTCGGAGGCCCCCTTGTTTGAAAAGCGGGGGTGGAGGGGGAGAAGATTTTCTGTCATACAGCACAACAAAATACACAAATCTTCAAAAATTGAAATTTGTTTTAAATAAAACTAGATAACATTTAATCATAACGTAATGGAAGGTTCAGAACGGGCCCGCCCTGAAACGTGGGGCCCGGGGCTATAGGGCCCCCTAGACCCCCCTTGATCCGGCACTGCTGCCAGTGTATATATTTATATGAAGCAATTCACACGTGACGCAGATTTCGGCGGCAACTTTACGTCTTGTTTGCGTTTTAACAAATGAATACTAGACCGCGACTAGGACGCAGCGTTTTAGCAGTACATATACAGACTCCTCTTGATTATCGATGTGTTCTACACGATTATTGTCCAGGCGTTATCCCCATCACTGGGAGGGGGGGGGGTGAAATCTGTTAAACGCCTACTTAGTTGCCCCTTCGCTTTTGTTACCGAGGACCGGGCTTCGGGCAAAAAACGAATTTACGAGAGCCTGAAGCGTTTCTCCCTATAAGGTTATTGTCTCGGTGCGCACCCGAGTTCGGGACGATAATCGAGGACTCTGTATGTATTTACATGAAACGATTCACACGTGACGCAGGTTTCGGCCTCAACTTCGCGGTTTGTTTACGTTTTCTGAAATGAACGCAGGTGTTGCAATTCGCAAATGTGACGCTAATACCTCAGCGAACAGTTAATTCTTTTTCTTGAGCAATTCATATATCCGGTGTGCGTCATTTATTGTATGAACAAGCAATATTGCCTAAGCATCAAAACGAAAATGACTTTTAGAAGACACGATGATTAAATTTATGGCAACACCAGAAACGTTACAAGAAGATTTATTATTTTTACAATCACTACTTCCAATTATAGAGACTTTTAATACAGATCAAAAACTTCAATTTAAAACAGAAATTTTAAATGTTATTATCCAAAAAATTAGAAAAATTGTTTAAGTTTATTATTTTACATCTTTATTATTTTCTTTCATTTCTGTTTTATATATCTTGATACATTTGTTAATCATTATTAGATTCCTTCATTTATTATAAGTTTATTAACCTTGTATTATTTAAAAAATGTAGTAGGTAGTATACAGTTTTGGTCCATACTGTAAACAAATAAATATTATACTTACCTCAATGTAACTGCAATCATTTCAAGTGTTGGAATAGTGAGCCTCATTGCTATGTTTTGACATTCTACGTTTTTATTATTTTTATATGTGTAACAAAAATGTTGGAGGACCCGGAAATGGACAAGCCGTGAGGTAATTTGAAACAAGTTTTTCCTTAGCAAAAATGTTATCCGAGGCTTTGTTAATGAGATATTAACGAAAAACGCCGACCAATCAGAACACGAGTCTGCCGGCCGAGTTCCCGCGATAGCGTTGGCTACCAACCACAGCGCATAGAGTAAAATAGAATGAGAATAGAGAGGATAAAAATAGAAGGGACATT